ATTTTTTTTTTTGAAAATCGTGTACCACCACACCGGCCACCGTGGTTGGCCAGCCGAAGCTAGCCATGGTGGCTGGCTACCAACAGCAGCCACTGCCGCAAGGGCAGCAGCACTGGTAGCCGTGGCAGCAGCCGTGCAACGCTTGCACGCTGCTGCCCACAGCCACCTTGGACCGCCGCCCTCCCTCCCTCTTGGACTGCCACCAGGTCGGCAGCCGCGGCTGCCGGCCTCAAAACTTTTTTTTTTCAATTTAATTAAAATAACATTTATTAAAATTAAATCAAATCAGTCCAAAAATTAAAATTAAATCAACATTCAATCTTAAAATTGGGGTTCATCATAAAACATTTTTATGCATAAATCAATCCGATTAAAATTAAGAATCATAAAATAAACAAAATTAAATCAAAATCAAGCACAAAAATCATATTTTAGGGCTAGGATTTTCGAACATATTAGGGCTAAAAATGGTCATCTTCATGGCTATTTGAGCATAATTAAATCACATTTAATCGATTCCAAAAGTTTAATCACATTAAAAATAATAATTGAACCATAATTAAATTAATCTCCCTCTTAATTGAATTAAAATTGTGGACTATCAAAGAATTATAGTCAATATGTGTAAATGCAATAGGATAACTAATACCACTGAAGGGGTTTATAGGTACTACGCAGCGGAAGTAAACATGAATCATATTCATACAGTACCTAATCCCAAGATCTAATGCATAACACATAAAGAACATATAATCGTACCTTGAAGCGTGATTCCACGTGCGATCGAGCAAGAACAATGGGAGATAAAGAACCTCAAGCGTGATTCCTCTACTTGGTGCACGGGCACAGATTAAGACCTCCACTAATGCTAGTTAGTTGTAATTGAACCCTTCAATTGACCTTCTATGGAGAAGTGCGAGCAAAGAACCACCATGAACCACCACGAATCACCACACGCGCCACCAAGGTGGCCGGCCGTACGGACGAGGGGAGGAGAGAGAAAGAGAGGAATTAGGGTCTTTGGGATTGGTTGCCTTGATGTCAAAATACACTGTGTGTGAATTATGACTACTTTTTTGCAACCCTAGGCATGTATCTTATTTATAGATCTCATCTCTAAATAAGAGCCCATGTCAAAAGCCCAAAATCTAATTCTAATCTAGCTATGCTAGCCCAATCCATTTCATGATTAGTTAAATGCTCGTGAGGCCCATTAATGGGCCTTTAAATTGCTTAACCCAATACCCTTGTGTGTGACCTCATAGGATCCATTCTAGCAGGCTTTGAGCTATTTGACTAGTCCAAAGATCATCTCTCATAGTCTAGCAACAGATGATGACGCCCCAAGAGAACGAACTTATTATCTCCATGATAGTGATCCTTGATATATCTAGTAATTGCACTTATCGAAGACACAACTTCTTCAAAAGAAACACCTATTAAGTGAACATTTAATTTTTAATCGAAAATTATCCCTAATCGAGGTCATTTAAATGGTGGACGATTAATGACCAATTGATATTAGTGTGTAGTATGATTTATAGCACCGTTTCTTGTGCTACGAGGATATAAATCATTTACACATGTATTGGTTTATAAATATACCAGATCGACCTATGAGAATACTTTAAGAGATTCAAAATCGTCATAAGTATACTTTTCATTATTGCTATCGGAATCTTTTTCTTTGACCATGACTATTGTGAGTTCTCTTGTCTGTGTACTAGTTCGTTTTGGTGTCGGTCAAACGTCTGCCGTACATGGAGATCATAACGACAACATACAAGCGGCTAGGTCCTCTTAGTAAGAGAATCTTACATTACAAGACTGGAAATGTCCCCTACTAACAATAGGGAACATGTCTTTGTTGTTTACAAGGCCTCTTGAAGAATGAGACTGTGAAAATACATGGCCGTGCTCAGATGGATTTTAGAAATCATCTGTTTATTAAGAGTCAAACTTGGATTTCGAGAAACACTTCTGAACGTAATAGGGATGACGAATAATCTTACCTTATAGTTCATGAAGAGACATTAAGTTACATAGGAAAGGGGCTATACACTAAAAGCTCACTTGTCCGGAAGGACAAGTAGGAGATTGAAAGGAATGGTGTCCTTTCAACAAGTGTATTATTCCGATAAGGGGTTCGGAATTATTAGAAAGCTAATTATTCAGTGAGGTCAAGTGATCGGAATGCCTAGGTGGAGGCCGCTTCTGATCAGTAATATTAATGTATAATTAATATTACATCTTAATCTTGACTGAACCCATCGGGTCACACCCAAGAAACTAACGAGCCGAAGTGACAAATTAATTCGGAAGTAATTAATGAGTCGACCGAGTAATTAATATTTAGACGTCGGAAATTCGAGCTTGGAGCGTCAAAACCGAGAGTGAGTCGAAAATAGTAAAAGACGAGACGTGAAAATACTAATAAATCAACAATGACAAAAAAACCCTTAGCATCGGAATACCGAGTGCTGGGGGCGCGGCTATGCTAGTAGCGAGGGCTTGGCTAGCATGCCACAGCTAGCAACCCGCACCAATGTGCGAGGCATGTTAGAAGGCAACAGCTAGCATCCCTCACCAATGTACGAGGCATGCTAGCAGGCAGCAGCTAGCAGCCCGCACATGGTGCGCGGCGTGCTGGCAGTTAGCCTCAGCCAAGCAGCCCGCACGCATGGTGTGTGGCCTGTTGGGGCATAACACATGGTAGCCCACCCTGGGTGCCTTGGTGCCCAAGTGTGGGGTGCCACGTGGCGCGCGGGTAGTGGATGCTTGAAGGTGTAGATTCCTTGGAGGAGCTTGGCGAGCAAGTATGATCCCCTCTCTCTCAAATGGTCCTCACCTAGCCTCTCTAGTGAGCTTGACACTTGTTGATTTATTACTAGTTTGATTATTAATTTTATCTTAGCTTTAAAATAAAATGGGAAAATCAAATTGTCTCACATTGATGGGAGAGCTTTTCACACTCTTACTCTTCCCTACAAATACCCAACTTGGGGTATTGGGAAGAGCACTTGAGTAAGTGTTGAAAAAGGCATCACCATTGTGAAAACCTTTGAACACATTTATTACTCAGGTTTTGGTCGGGCCTTACTAACTCCAAGGCATTAGACCGGTGCCGGTGGTCGAGTTGTGGGTGGACTTCCGTTGGAGGTCGTCGTACTTTCGAGACTTGCTTTCGAAGTAAGAGCTCCTTGAGGTCGGGCGAAGCACACGTCAAAGGTATAATTACTATCCTAATCTTGTCATTAAGTTAATTATGCTTTGTGATTTTATTTATTACGAGTGCGATCTTGGCTCGGGTTTTCTTCTGCGGTGAGTCGGACTCACCAAACCCCAACATAAACCAATGCCAACTAAATGGATCCTATGAGATCACACGTCACAGTGTTAGGTCGAACAAGAATACCGAGTCCAAAAGTTGGGCTTAGTGAATGACTAGCCATAATGAGTAAGATAGGAATAAGTCTTGCCATAATAATATGATTATATAATAAAGAGCTTGGGGAAAAATAATGAGATGTTCATCTTTCAAAAGAAACAACATAATATTTTTCCCTTCCTCTCTCTCTCTCTCTCTACAACCGGTTAGAAGTTCTCCATAGAAGAGGAGATTAATTTCTCTCGTCTAACTAGCATTGGTGGAGGTTCGATCTACGCTTGTGGACCAATATTAGAGGAGCAACAATTGAGGCTCTAATCTCCGCAAGAAGGTAGAAGAAAGCTTGGGAATTCACGCATCAAAGGTTAATCTAAACTATTTTGTGATCCTTTATTTGTATATGCATGAGATCCTGTTTAGGTGCGTATGAATGAGATTCATGAAATTCGCTTAGAGTATTTAAAACCCTACACCTTTTTTGAAGGAGTTAGTATTATCATACTTTAATTTGCACACTTTGCTACTAGGGTGTCCTTTTGTTTCGCTATGAAGCAACATTGAGGGATTGAGGCCATTGTCGTTGAGGAAGGAAGACGAAGAGGAGGACGTCGAATATACGATTAGATTGGCAGGAAGACAAAGAGATGGTGATGGTTGTGCTGGAATGTATTTTGTCCGCTATTGTGTCCCAAATGACATTATGTCAAATCCGCAAATTCTCTAAAGCTGCCAAGCATATTCATACATGATAAGATAACCAACTCATCAATGTTTATCCAAATTCATTTTTTTTTTCTTTAGAGGATTTAAGAGATTTCGTCAAATCTAGAACCTGTAAAATATCAAGTCATGTAATAGGCTATAAAATACCAAGTCAATCTTCAGAATATACAAATTTTACTCCCAAGTGGTAATTTTATTTCTTAAAAAAAGACTAGCACTTCATTTAAAACTCCTTAAACTTAAATCATGAGCCTCATTACTATTAGGGGCTGTTTGGTTCACAGAAGAGAATCGGAATGAAATGAACAACGTGAATGAAATGGAATGGAATGGCAAAGTGGAAAATTTGGAAGGTTGTTTGTTACAAAAACCAGGGAATCATTCCCTCCACCACAGCACCACCACCACAGCGCAGCTCCGACCGCCGCCGAACCCTCACAGAACTCCGCCAACCGTCGCCGACCCATCCCCGACCGTCGACGACCGTCGCCGACCATCCAGCCCCCATCGCCGACCGTCGAACTCCCTCCCCGATGCTCCAGCCCCCCTCCCCGATGCTCGAACTCCCTCGCCGACAGTCGCGCCCCCCTCGCCGACGGTCGCTGACCCCTCGCCGACCCTCCAGCCCCCCTCGCCGACGGTCGCTGACCACCACCGACCACAGCACCACCTCGAACTCCCTCCCCGATGCTCCAGCCCCCCTCCCCAACGCTCGATCTCCCTCCTCCACCACAGCACCACATCGCCGACCACTCCCCGGTGCTCGCCGAGCCTCCCCGACCACTCCCCGGTGCTCGCCGACAGTCGTCGTCCGACCACCACCGACGTATATGGGTGTTAGTGTTAGGGTTAGGGTTAGGGTTAGGGTGGGTGGGGAATGGAATGGGAAAGTGGGGGGGGTGGGGAATGGGGAAGAGGGGTTTTGGGGTATTTTGAAAAATGAAATGGGGGAATGATTGAGGGAAAAAGTGGCAAACAAACAGGTTGAAAGGGAATGATTCCCATTCCCTTTCCTGAAACCAGCGAACCAAACGCACCCTTAATGAGTGGCATTGCACTAATCAACCACTTGTTCAATTAGGGTTTATAACATCGCACGAACTTCTCCAAACCATTCATCAAAAAAACCTTCGATTTCTTCAACAATGGCGGGTGCTGGAATTCATCCTTATCACCACCACCACCAACACCAACAATGGCCGCCAACGCCGGCACCTCCACCAGCTCCGGCCGCCGTTGCTCCGCCTCCGCCGCCTAACTCCGTCGTCCCCATGCCACCACCTTCCCTCGATAATCGCCTTTCCGATGATGTCAGTTTTTTTGCACTTTCGTCTGATTTTAGGGTTTTGATTTGTTTTTTGATGAATTATTTTGATAAATTTTCAGCAGGTGAGGACGATATTTATATCTGGATTGCCGGAAGATGTGAAGGAGAGAGAATTGCAGAATTTGCTGCGATGGTTGCCTGGTTATGAGGCGTCGCAAATTAATCCTAAAGGAGAACATCCTATGGGTTTTGCTCTTTTCTCTTCGCCTGAGTTTGCTCACGCTGCTAAAGATGCTCTTCAGGTGTTTAATTTTTGTTCGTTTGCCATTAGATTGTTTTTTATTGAATTGTTGAATTGATTGATTTTGCTCATTTGATTTGATCCGCTGTATGTAGAATATGGTTTTTTGATGCGGAATCGAAGGCGGTTTTGCACACAGAGATGGCAAAGAAGAATTTGTTTGTGAAGAGAGGTTTGTGTTTTTGATTTTTATTTATTTTGTTTGTTTAGTCTGTTTTGTTGTAATGGTAAATGTTTAGTCAATGTTGATGTTGATTATAATTGCTGAGTAGAAACGTAGGGAGTTTTCGTATTAGGATCAGTGTTGGTTGTCGTGTATTATTCAATTGAGAAGGCATCAAGATTGGATCACCTGTTTTTCTGTGTTGTAATAAAAAGTGTATGTTAGGTTTAGAGTGGTATGCAGCTCAGAAGTTAAATGATTTAGAAAGATTAAGTGCTTAGTTGAAGGGTTGCTTTGACGTTGGAAAGCTTGCCTTCACTTTGGTCTTTAATCGAGCTCTAATGATGACTGGTATTGTCTTTCTATGCCCTCCTCATGGTGGAAAATTAAAAGGGAAATACTTGAAATGGGTTTAGTTATTTTGCACTTGAACTATATATGTAATGCCCAATTGACATAGTCAATGTGTCAGACAACGGGGAATTTTGTAGTGTAAACCCCTACCAATACCATGACACTAAGGATCTTGAGACCAGTTTGATTTCCTTTTATTTATTTAGAAATTTAAGCATTAAAACGAACATAAGATTTTAGTTTTACTATCAAAAGTATATGCATCACTTTACTTCTTTTTTGGATGGGTGGAGAAGAAAAGGAGTGTTCTTTTACCAATGATGCAATGACATGGGAATGCAATGTATGAATACTCGTGGTACTGAAATGTGACATGACTTGTTAAATACATCTCATTTTTATACTATAATATATTAATGATAGCAAGGTAGCAACAGCTCCCACAACTGTGATAATTGTTTATATTTTTGTTGGGATTTGCATGTATCTAAATATGGACAATGGTATACAGTATGACACAGCACATTTCTAAAATCATTAGAGCAAGTATTGGTAAATGTGTAATTGGGAATTTTAAGCAACATAAACAATAGAATATAAATGAATCATATTCAAGTTTTTATTTATGTTTTGGAATGCAGGAAGGTTTATGAGTCAGGAATGCAGGAAGGTTTATGAGTCAATCCATTATTACGAGTTTACAGCCCCACCATCTTAGCCTTTTTTTTTCTTGGAGGTTTAAAATCAATCCATTTCTATAATCTTTGAAGTATTGGTTTATGTGTAATATGATATCAATATGTTATCCCCCATCTTATCAATAGAGAGACTCTTTTCAAAGAACAATAATTTATTCCCCAACACCTAATCACCTATTTATATAACCTAAAATTATTCTTAGCTCCCATCTTGGGCTTGGTATTCTTACAAATTACCTAAATTATGCCCCAACACCTAGTTACACTTTAATCCCCCCCCCTGTCCCTCTTTCCTAAAACTTAATGTTCTTATTTTTTGAGGTATTATGAGCATATTTGAATTCTTGATTTCTATTTAAGGTATTTAGTCAATCTGATTATTAGACAAAATTGCAGTTATTACTTGTTAGCATTAAATTATACTACCTTTGTTCTTTTTAAATGCAATCATTCAACTGCCACATCTATTGAGAAATAACTTTGACCATTAATATTTGTAACTGTGTATATTAGTATAAATTATAAAAAAGTTGATATTATGAATTCGACACATGTGTACTTCAGGTGTCGCGAGTCGGATCCTTTGATACGATATGAAACGACACGATACCCATATATACTGTGGCCTTGTATGAAATTTTATTAAATCTAGTCATCTTGAGTGTTAACACCATGTCAGAAACGACACCCAAATCCGAGTCTGAGCAACATAGATATACATCTTGTTTGTGTCATTTTTTACTTGGCTTTTAGCTGTGTTAATTGCCGTTCATTTATAATTATTTCTACTTGCTATAGTTGTTAACTACTTGCCTTTTTCAGGCTTTTATCTTTCTGCGTCTTTTGTCCTTTTATCTTCCTGTCTGGTGGGAGGACTGCTGTTTGATGTATAACAATTTTCATGTCTTCTTCTCTCTTGTTGTAATAGGCATTGTAACAGATGCAAATGCTTATGACCAAAGTAAACGTTTACGAACTGGTGGTGACTTTACGCATACTGGTTATGCCAGTCCATCACCATTTCACCCTCCTCCAGCACCTGTTTGGGGACCACATGGGTATAGTTTCTTTGATTCTCAGTGAAAACACTGTCTTGTGAACAACATACTAGTTTAGCTGAAACTTTTCTTATTGCTAGGAGACAAAAATAATACTCATTTTTATGTTTTAGGTATATGGCTCCCCTCCTCCTCCACCATACGATGCGTATGGAGGATATCCTGTACCTCCAGTGCCAATGCCTGCACCTACTCCTTCTCCTGTACCTGCACCAAGTAGTTATGTTCCTGTGCAGGTACTTTCTCCTTGACTTCTATCTCATGAATGAAACTGAATAATATGGACAGTGGCATGGATTTTTAAGTTAAGGTCTTTACAATAATAAATATGCTTACCAATAATATTAAACTTCACGTATAAGAATATTCTTAGCTACTAATCCCTTTTAAGTACAATGTATATAACTATGTGTAACTGTGTAAACTTTTAAAAATGTCTTTTTTTCATAATTTAATGCTGAGACATATGGAATGTCAAATGTGTCCCCTCCCTCTCTCCCTAAAGAAAAATTTATGCAGTATGAATTATGGACGAACACATGATTGTACTCCGTAACATTGAAGTTTGCACATATAAATGCAATGCTAATCAGATATTTTGAACTTCTTGAATGGCGACCATTGTTTATCTTGCTTGAATACAAAAAAACTTATTTTTGTTGTTGTTGTGGTGCCTCATTAATATTATTGACATATCTAGGTGAATAAGTCTAATGTTTCTTTGCATATATATATATATATATATATATATATATATATATATATATATATATATATATATATATATATATATATATATATATATATATATATATATATATATCTAACTTATCTAAACTGAAACTCAAAAATGTTAAAGCTTAGATGTTAAAGTCATACGAAACGCTTTTTTGTAGTCTTAATTCTTACGTATTAATCTTAATGCTTAAGCTTTTTTTTCTTTTTGTTTGTTTTGGAATGTCAATTAATTTCCTTAGGACTTTATGGAGTTCTTTTGATGTGGAAACAATCTCCTTTAGTTGATGATGAGGTGGTACAAGCTCCACATATCATGGTTATTTGTTAACTTTGTGGCTACATGTGATCGTTGATGCGGAAACAATTAATTTCTGTAGGACTTTATGGGATTCTTTTGATGCGGAAACAATAAGTCTTAGTTGATGATGAGGTGATAGAAGCTCCACATTTCCATGGTTACCAATTACCATACTTTGCCCTTAATTAGGTCTACTTTCATGTTTTGCTTGAGGCCAAATTGCATTAAGGCTTAGTTGTGAGTTAGCAAGATAATCAGATATCTTAAGGATGAATCTTGAAGCTAACATGAACAAATTCAGCCTTGTGCTAGTCATGCAAGTCATTGGACAGGTTTATATCCAACATTAGTCCCAAATGGTCATGAAAGATGGCATGCTCGTGTCTAAATCTGCATGAGCAGTCAGCATGATTAAGCAACACACCAATAGTATTCTCAGGTTCCACCCTACGGTTGTGTATATTACTCGTTTGTTCAATATATACTCCTTTGTTATTTAGCAATTAAGATTTCTTTTTCTTAATGATAATTTATTGTTTAGCTTTTGATCCTAGCCTTTTGATTGTAATCTAATGGCCCTTATATTGAGGTCACTTCTTGGTTATATTAGGCTTCCTGTAATTATAATTTACAAGGGAACATGCCCCTATGCTTTTTGTTAAATTAAGATACGAAAACTCCTCTCTTTGGTACTTTGTAAACTATCTTTCGTGGAAACATCAGAATTTTGTGATCTTTCCTTGCTGGCAAACCCTTGGCCTTTTTAATCTACTTTGTTTGTTTGATTATTCAACTTAGTTGTTGAATAGGTGTTATCTTTGTGCTAAATTTCTTTCAAGTCTTACCTTTTATGTTATACAAGCTGTGAGACACACGCAAATTGCGTGTGCAACGTAAGAAATTTCTATGCATACCTTGATTCTCCTTTTTTATTTTTATTTTTTTCATTAAAATATTATTTACCTTATTTTAATAAAATAATGAAGTCATGGAGGTTAAAATGTAGGATATGATTTCCCGAAAAAAAAAGAATGGTAGTTTTTAAAAAAAAATAAAATGGTAGTTATATTTTTTAAATAATGGTAGTTTCTTCTTAAATTAATATTATAAAAGAAAGGGGTATTTTGGGAAAGTGAAATTTATCACCCAAAGCCCCCTTTCACTTTATATATTACTATAGATTGATCTTCATGCAATCCAATCAGAATATCGTTCCAAAATTTTCGGTTATCGGGTTTTAGTTTAACAAACGAATATCAAGAGCAAAGGTTGTTTAGCCTTATGGATTCATTGGCAAGATGATTTGAGGATCATTAAAGGTGGTTATAGGATTTTTTGTGAGTGTAAAGTCAAAACCTAAACTTTTAGGTTTAATCTTTATTCTTTTATGCAAAATATTTTAAAATCTCCTATAGCCATTTATTAAAATATTTCAACTTCTCCTTAACCTTTGTTCTATCACTCACTCCCAAAGTTGTATCAAATGTTGGTTCAAATAATGTTTTACAAAAGCTAATATAGTGAACCAAAAATCTATAATAGGAGTTGCAAGTTTGCAACATTATTTTCATTTCACACCTTATGGACTGACAGGTTCAGAATTCGTTACTGAATAGCCTTAATATCATGGATTGACCTTGTTTATTTCTGTGGCGCCACATGTCACGGTTTGTAGTTTTTGACTAAGGATTGTCTTTGTGCTGAATATCCTTTGTTTGTCATGCAATCCGCTTTATATTCCTAAATTTTTTGTTCCAAAAATTTGAAATTTCTTACTTTTGCTTATGCAAGTCATTTTTATTTATTGCTTCTTGAAATTAGGAACTACCAAGTATTTTTTATTTATTTTTATTATTATTAATTAAAGTTTTTTAATCTCTTTAATTTTGTATATCTTGCCTTGCATAGTTCAGCACTGAATTTTATTCCTCTTGTTCTCATTACTGTATATGTTTTTGTTGTTGTTGTTGTTGTTGTTGTTGTTGTTGTTGTTGTGCAGAACACAAAGGATAACCCTCCTTGTAATACTCTATTCATTGGTAACCTTGGGGAGAACATCAATGAGGATGAGCTGAGGGGTTTGTTTAGCATGTAAGCATGTCTCCTCCTTGGTTTGTTTCAATATTTATTGGGGGTGGGTGGGGTTAGCAGTAGTTTAGTCTGGCCATTGAATGATTTAATTTGTGGAATTATGACAAGGGAATTGGTGTTTGTTTTATCTATCTATTAATAATTATATTTCTGTTATTCCCTTTGAAGCTTATTTGATTTATGGTTGGGTCTTTATGAGTTATGAGGATCAATGTTTGTGTCAGTTCCAATGGTGACTCTCTCATGCCACATTATTGTTATCTCTTCTCTAATGTTGAAACCATATACGAGACATATTATGCTTAATTGCATATGCCTTTAAAGGTTTAATCATAAGACCCCTAAAAATAAATTATTCTTCTGTTTTTGTACCCTCCCAGCCCTGTTCTTCTGAGCTGTTCTGATTTGCTCTAAAATAATAATTAATATTTAATAATAATAATAACGATTAATATTTAATAATAATAAGGAAAAATGGAAATTAATAATCCCACCTTTACCCGGTCTGATAGTAGCAATCCCACCTTCAATTTATTCCAAAACAATAACAATCCCACCTTCAATTTATTCCAAAATAATCCCACCTTCAATTTATTCCAAAACAATCCCACCTTTGAGAGTCATATTCTTTTAACAATCCTTGCCCGCTTTTGTTAGATTGGTAACCTGTTGGGGGAGGTCACTTGACATGTGTCGTTTTTTAATTGGTCTTTATTTTACAAATTATTAAAAAAAAAAAAAAATACATCCAGCTTCACCTTCCCCTTCACTCTCCTGATCTCCTCCCACCGGAGCATATCTCGCACATGGATCCCCCTTTCTCCATTAGAGCCAACCACCCAACCTCACCAAACTCAACATTATGCTTATGTTGATTCCATAAAACCTGTTAAATCACAAGCCAAGTTCCGTTGATATTTTCACTCTCCTAATTTCTTCATTTTTCTCCAGTTTAGATTCACCTTCAATTCCATTTTTCTGGAAAATATTTTGAAGTTTGAACTAAAGTTATTGGATCAATTGAAGTTTGAAGTTTTGAACTTAATTAGTTGAATTAATAGAAGTTTAAACTTAATTTGTTGGATTAATTGAAGTTGTTCATTTTATTATTATGAGTGTCGGAGCTGGAAAATGTTGGCTAGTTCTGACATTGCCGTGTTGACGCTGGTGGTGATATCAATGGCAGCGATACAAGTTAAAGCTCAAGCCAAGGTTGTTCAGGCCGGGGGAAGGGGATATTTAGGGGTGGGTTTTTCAGGGCGAGGGGAAATTTTGGGTGGGCTCAAGCAGTCAAGCCACCGCCGTTTGTGGGGCTGGGTTTGCAAGGAGATGTAGGCTTTTGCTGGGGAAGGAAAGAAGAGATGAGGGTGGGGTGGGGGATTGTCGGCGTAGAAGGGGAAAGCAGGGGTGGGCAGCGAGAAGGTGTACGTTTTCATGGTAGGGGTGGTGGTTAGAGTGGTGTGAGGGCTGTGATGTGGTGGTGGCTATGGATGGGGGTAAAAATGGAGGTCTAAGAAAATTCGTTGGAGAAGAAAAGGGTTTAGGAAGGAAATGGGAAAGGTTAACCTATTCAACAGGTACCCTGTAAAATAGCCTATTAAAAGAAGATCAATGACCAAAGTGGGTTTGCCTCGTAATAATTAAAAGATGAGATTGTTATTGTCTGACCCGATAAAAGCGGGATTATTTATTTCCAATTTTCCTAATAATAATAATAATTAATACTTAAAAATAAATATTTAATAATAATAATGATAATGATAATATCTGTTGTGTTTGCCGACTGGGTAAAAGAACAGGACCTGAGACTATTTGCCCAAAAATCTTGTCCCTAAAGTTAAACGTTTTATTCCACCTTTGTATTTATTCACATATAGTCATTTACTAAACCAAACCCCATATTCTTTTTTTTAATTATTATTATTCAGCTTTTTATTTAATTATTATTATTCAGCTATTTATTTTTTATTTATTTATGTTAAAGCACGTATAATTCGGTCAACATAATGATTCTAATATTGTTGTCATATAAACAAGTTTATGTGAAAACTTATCATACAAGAAATCTGCTTTTTTTTTTCTTTTTTTTTTTTGTATAATCTCTACAAAGAATATCATTACTCCCTCCGTTCCTAAATATTGAAACGTTTGACTTATTTTCAATTAGCTTTGACCATTGTTTTTTTAGTAACGTAAAAAAAAATATTATCATGAAGTATTTTGTTAAATAGGTTTTAATATAAAGAGTCATAATATCAGTTTTTTTTTTACTTATATTTAATTATACTTCCTCCGTTATGTTAATATTGCAACAAGGAGGAAATTACGCATCCCAAAACACATTTTATATGCTAAATATCTATAATTGTATAAGAGTAAAAATTATAAAAAGTTGATATTGTGAAAGTATTATTATATGAGACGAATCCAAATGTCATTTGACTATATTTTGCTTAACGTATAACTCATATTATATGGTCAAACAAGAGTGATGAATAGTGCAAAAAGTCCATTGTTGCAATATTAATAGAACAGAGGAAGTATATATTTAAGGTCAAACTAGTACGTCGGCATGTGTGCCAAATTTGACCATGTCAATTATTTAAAAACGGAAGGAGCATTTATGCTTGCAAACTTATTAGCAATAAATCATATTTTAGTGTTCTTATCTATTAAAATTCATAATCTTAATCATGCAGATTAATTAATATTGCATCAAGGTAAAAAATTTAAGAATGGAAGCATTCTACATCAAATATCATGTTATAGAAGTTATAGCAATTTCTACTTCTTGGGCATATAATGCCATGTTTTAGTGATCTCATTTTTGAATGTGTTCGAACTTTGGAGTAGGAAAACATCTAAGGAAGAGGTAAACCTACATGATTGTAATGAAGCAGAGTTACTACTTCACTTGCATTGTAGGACCTTACATTCTATATTTACCCTTTGATTCAGCTTTCGAATCAAATAATTGCTATATCATTCTTTCTTTCACCAAAACATCATTTTAAATTCATCACTGAAAGTTATGGAATCACAAACATCTAGTTTATTGAAGTAGTTACCTTTAATCAACCAAGCGTCCAAGCCTCAGTATCAGATTTTTGTAAATTCAGTTTCCTAAAAACATGTTCAGAAGGCACATGGGACTTTCATTTGGGGATGGAAGGAGTTTAATACTCAATTACCCATGCTTTGATGCATTCAGGCACATAAATAAGCTCTTGTTCTTTTTACCTCACGTGTGCAAATACTTTGAAATATAAATATGTTTGCCTTCCTGCCCAATGCTTGACAGCAACTTACCATTCTAATCTTATGCTATTCTAAACTCTAAACCTGCTGGACAGGATTTAGTGAGCCAATGACCAATATATGTATGTGAGTCATTGAGGAAGGTTTAAAAGTTGTGCATTCCCAAGTTGTAAATCTAGATCTGCCAATGGGTTTTGAGGTATCTTTATGGAGTGTGGGAGCCGTAGTAGGTTTTCCCATGTGTTTGAATGCTCTGTAAAATGGGAGGATTAGATATATATTGGGATGAGGAATTTGGTTTTAGGTTGTCTTAGAGATAAAATCAAACTTAGTGATTTGCCTCTTTTATATGCTATATTTGAAGTTGGAACACTGTAGTTGTTTTTACATGGGATATATCCTGTAATATCCTTTACTTTATGTATTCCAACTCCATTAGGTCATAACCTATAATAAGCAATTTATTCATGCTGTCATGCATAAAAATAACTTGTTCTTTTACCTCACGTTTGCAAAACTGTAAACCCTCTGTGATAAATGGTTCCTGCCAGCCCCGAACTTGACAGCAACTTGCTCTTTTTAACTATTTGGAAGTGTAAACTCTAAAGGCTGCTGGACTGGACCCATTGAGCCCATGGTCAATGACCAATGTATTTTGTCAGAAAAAGGGTTTATATAAATTCTGCAATCCCAATTTATTGATCCAAGATCTGCCAGTGGGTATTGTTGTTTTCTTTTGAGGTGTGGGAGCCATAGCAGGTAATCTCATATAAATAATGTACTCTATATATAAGAGGAGGACAGTGAGATTGATTTTGGGATAGTGAATTTGGTCTAATATTGGGCTTTATCTCAGAGATGAAATCAAACTTTATGATTTCCCCCTTAAATATGCTATATTGGAAGTTGAAACACACTAGTTTTTACATGGACTGTATCTAGCAATATCCTTTGTCTTTAGTTTCCCCAATTCCATTTTTTCCACCTAATGTGGTTCCTATCGTTCTTTTTTCCTTTTCCTCTCAGCTTCCCCATCTGGGTGCTCAGTTATTTAAGATTTGATCACTTTGTTTTTCTTCTATCATATTTTGATATTCTTAGTTTATTCGTTATTGTATTGTAGGAAAAATAGAGTTTGACTCGTTGCTTTTCCCTTCTTACGCATGCATATTGCATGATGTTTGGGAATCATTGTAGTCTTTACAAGGACCCCTTCAATTCCTTACCCCATGAATTTTGTTACTTTCAGTGCCAATCTCCGCATTGTGCATATTTTGTCTAGCTGGACAATTTACACTCGGGTATCACATCTTGCTCAAAGGATATACACCTTTTTCTTTGTGAGTGACGAAGTAGAATTAAGATTTGATAAAAGATCTATACACAGGATCCATGACACTCCATCAGTAAAGCAATGTGGCAGCAATGGGCACATGCCCATAGATTATCCAAAACTGCTTTAATTTTCTGATATTCAGGATTCTTTGTTATGGATGACTTATTTGTCTGAACCTATTGTATAAAAGAAATGAAGTATCTGAATAGATTTATAATTTAGATAGTGAATGAAAGTAGCTAATTTCTGTGTGTTCTGCCTAATTTTTTTAATCATGATAGAACTAAATGTATAGCTGAGTTTACTGTTATTTGGTACTTGTGGCTTTTCATTAAATGTGAGGCTTTCATTTATCTTCTTGAAAGATCTCTTGATGTATAGATATTGCAACTTTTGCACTTTTGACATCAAACATTTCTATTCAACCTCATATCGCAGTTATATAGAAGAAAATATATACTACGTAGTTATGTGGGGTCTTGTTGATTTGTCTTGGTATACACTTTCATTTTGTAATTTTTTTTTTAATAATATAATTTGTACTCTTGTATTACTACCTCTGTTTCTTATTATTTTCAACTTTAGAGGGTTGCACGGACTCCTAGGCAAATTTGTGTGTGAGTGTTCAATGGAAAGAGAAAGATAGAGATGCATGTGATGAGGAGAGAGAGAGATAGAAATGACAACTTAAAAAGGAAAGAAAACATTTGTTGCAAATAATATGAAATAGAGAGAGAAACTTAAGATCGAACATGTGCATTGGGATGCGTAAATCCCATCCAAGGTGCAACATTTAGGGAATGGAGTACGTGCTACTTGTTTCTACAACTTGTGAAGCTCTTCCTTTTCGATGGGATAGATCTTTCCACCACTCCCCCCTCTCCTTTCCCAATCTGCCAATATGATGTAATCTTAACTTTATTTCTCATTATTGAGTGATCTTGGGGTCCGACAATGTGAGAATCACATTATTTTTAGCTGCTTTGATTTTCGTACTTTTAGTTAAGGTTATCTTTGTTGCTGATATCTTGTGTGGTTTTAAAGTATTGCAATTCTTTTTCTGTAAAATGTGTGTTTGCTCAAATTATGATGTTGATCTGTTTTGATCATGGGTTCATATGATGCAGACAACCAGGCTATAAGCAAATGAAGGTCCTGAGACAGGAAAGACATACTGTTTGCTTTATTGAATTTGAAGTGAGTGTACATTTAGTGGTTAATTGGTTTCTTGTTTCATCATTTTCTTTTAGATTCACTACTCGAAATAATTATCTTTTTTCCTCTCTATGCAGGATTTAAATAGCGCTTCTCATGTTCATCATAATCTGCAAGGGGCAGTTATTCCTAGTTCTGGCTCTGTTGGCATGCGGATACAATATCCTTTCTTTTATTGATCATGCATACAATGCTTGATTATTTTACATTATCATTTCTGCAATTTTGGTCATTTTATGCATATTATACTAATACCTTGTGCCTGTTCTGTTTGTGGAATCTTTAGGTTTTTTTTTGGTAGCTTGCTTGTGGCAACTTTATTTCTGTACTCGGTTTGGCCAATTGATTGCTTGAAGTCTTTCTCTTTGAAGGCATGGCTGCACTGCCATGATCATAAATTAAGTTTTTACTTGAATGCTTGAAAAATTACTCCACATTTCCCCCTAAAGTTTCTGTTCTCTTTAATGTCAATTAGTGCTTTATAATTTGTTTAAAATAGACTATCTTCACTTGAATTTGCTATTACTTTTAGTTCACTAGTCTGCTTATGTCACGTACTTACTGTTCTGTAATTTGTTCTGCTTATGTCATGTGCTTTCTGTTATCTGTAATTTGTTCTTCATATAACTGTTTTTCTTGACTTTCGACACATATTCAAAGAATCCCTTTGGTAAGAGGAAGGATTCTAATCACCTGGCTGCTGCCGCCGCCGCCGCTGCCCCTATGAATGGCATGAGTGGACCTGCCCCGCCTATGAATTACCAGTAGTCTGAAGGGGATGTACTCTATTTTACATGGTCCAAATTTGCAACTACATGATAGGATGCATCATGCAGCTGTTGCACACATCCATTTCATCAGCATTAGCATTTCTTCTTATGTGAATGAGTGCGCATAATGACATCATTAATGTACCATTGGGCCATGTTTTGCCTTGACATCCAAGCTATGCATTGCAAAAGCATACCTCTAATTGCCTTGATGACATCATAAATATCATACCGTTATCTAGTAGGACTTATGCATTCCAGCTGTAGTATTATGGATGTGTGTGTTTGATTTTCATACTGACCATGCTGTTGAGTGACAATTTGACATAATATAGATGGACTGCGAAGTCACGTAGCTGAAACTTATACTCTTGTAGTCATGTTTTTCATTCATGGGCATGAAATATTGTAAAGGAAGCATAGGAGCTCACGTCACTGATCATGATTGCTTCTGCAATCCATTGCCATTATCATTGGGTTCATCTTTCATTTATCATCAACCTATCAATCCATCATATCTACTGGTTGAAACAGGAGATAAGCTATATATTTCAGGGTTTAGGTTCTTCGAAGAAAGCTTTTTTGCTGGAAAAATTTAAGAAAATGTGCTCTTGTTATCATGCAGGCTTTTCCAATCAGTGACTAATGATATCATTGCTTTGTGTATGAATGGTCGCTGCAGCTCATTTTCTGGAAATCAGCCCCACTAGGTAAGATCATTTTGGGGTTTTTTTTGGGATGATATATCGTCTTTCAAGTTTCCTTATGCAAAAGCACATTGAATAGGAAGTTAAAGCTTTTGTTGGTCTTGCGGGCTTCTATTAGACTGTTTTTGTTGGGGAAGTTCTTTTGGGTTAGGATTAATTGTTGTAGTTTCAACTTTGTAAGCAAACTGTATATTAGCTGCGAGAGAGAACTAAAGAATCAGCTGCTATTTTTGCTAGAGCTGTACTCTACAACTATTGTTTGTATTTTCATTTTTGTTGATGGTAAGGTAAGACAAACTCTTAAGATGTCGGATGTTGCGCTTGGACTTGGGGTGGTGTGAGTGCAAGCCTCAGCATGGTGCATGTGTTCAAAGGCACAAGTACATATCAAGTATTATATTGGTCTATTCACATTCACATTCCTGTGAAATTTCTCTGACGTATTAATTTTTCTCAAAACTTAATACCAATTCTTTTTTCTGGGCTCTTATATTGATTTCTTGAACTAAAGTCAGATTCCTAACTCTAGCGAACAATTCTTGACAAATAACTTGGTGTTTTTTATTCACTTTTTAAAAGGATAACTTGGAATAAAGATAATACATATACGAGTTTGTGTAAATTTCTATACGACTATTTATATTATACTTCATTTATAGTTATTAATTCTTTGGGAAATTCTATATTATAACCCTTTAGTTTTGCATTTTTTACGTTGTGCTCCCTTTTTCTGAAATTTAAACATTGCAACCCTCGGGTATAATTGGTAATAACACATAGACCTTGTAATCCTGCCGTTAACAAATTCTGTTACTCCCTCCGTCCACAATTATCTGTAACATTTGTTATAAATGGGTGTTCTTTATTATGTGTAACAAATTTTTTTCTTTCCTCTTTTAGTAAAATTTAAGTATAAAAAGACCATCATACCCTTGCCTTTTTGTTTTAATTTTATTTAACCTTTTTTAATTAAACATATGGGACCACTTTCTCTCTCTTCTTTCCCACTCACTTTAACCTACTATCACACTTAAACATATAAGAAAACTTTCTCTATCTTATTCCTCCTTTTTACTATTAAATTAAACCCACCAAAACTTAATTAAATTACACTAAAAGTTTTGTCTAGGAGTCCGCAAAAAGTACATTTGGTGCAGATAATAGTTGGCGAAGGGAGTATATTGTTTAATCCGTTAGGAGGCTTACTACCTATTTTTGATTTTTTTTTCGATTTGTGTGTTGAAAAATGTTATGTTATAAGTTTTGAGAGCCATTTTGGCCCTTATGGGTCTAAATTGAGTACAGATTTAAAAAAATTAAAATAATATCAAACAAATTATCTCATTTTGGGTATAAAGAAATATTTCGACTTGTGTATTATTATTATTTTTTTTAGCCGTAGAAATTGTTTACAAATTGAACGAGTCACCATATTTTAATAAAAACTCAACTACTTGGTTATAGGCTTTTATGATTTCATTCATTAGTGTTAGATGATAAACGCCTATAAGAAGCCCAAGTGAATATTGGTGTTTGAGTTGGATTTGGTTAAATCTGGTAGGATAAAATCAATTTCAAACTTGACTAATGTTATATTATGTCTATATACTAGATTAGTACTAGTGAGTTGCACGGTGATGATAAATATTTTACCTATAAGAAGCCCAAGTGAATATTGGTGTTTGAGTTGGATTTGGTAAAATTTGGTCGGATAAAATCAATTTCAAACTTGAGTAATGTTATATTATGTCTATATACTAGATTAGTATCAGTGCGTTGTACGGTGATGATAAATATTTTACTTAATTTAAATTTTTATTATTATATAAAATTAATCATTATCATGTGTTTTTTATTTAGTGAGATTATAAAGTTGCTCATCTTCTTTTAATGTATATATTTCATAATTAAATTAGTATGTTGAAGTAATCGTTTTGTATGTGACTTAATTACTTGAAAATAGAGTTAAAATTATTTTATATGTGACTTAAGTACTTATTTTGAATATATTATCAATACATTTTCATTGAGAAATACCATCTCAATGCTATTATATAGTCATTTGGATTATCAAAGTTTGGTGGCTTTCATAAGCCTATTATTCGTATCTTAATTGTCATATTTTCCTTCATTGGAGTTATGTCTCCAATGAACTCATATTGTTGTGTAGACATTTTCATATATCTTGCATGATTAAAAAAATTTACTACCAAATATATGAGTAAATCTAAATTGCTAATTGAAATGTGGAAGACAAATAATTTCATACCTTCAAATTAAATACATAACAAACACAATGTTGAAACATATAAATATATATTAGCAAAAGCTCCACGTGATCACCGTGCATTAGATAAAATTTCGTTTTCATAGGATAATTATTGTTTTTTTTTTTTTTTTTTTTGAAGAAAAATTTTTATTTTTTATTTACACTTATCCTCACAAACTTTAACTAATGGATGTCATCTAATACTGTACAATACTTTGGCTCCGTAATTATAGGTAACTAACAAACTTTATATAATGCAATTTGTTATGCAATTTGATACAACCGTATTTATAGTATGCATCTATTATCTAATACAATATTTATAATTTGATGCAACTTGTAGTTTTTTTTTAATAAAATGAAAAAAAAAATGATGACATCATATAGGATAGGAAGGGGGGTGTATGATGTCAGTAAACTTCTGTTTTAGTAATAGTTAATAAATGTCAAAACTTTGAATCGTTGATATGTCCATTTTATATAGTAATTTATCCCCGTCCCTTGGTCATAATTAGTAGTGTTTTTGGCTCTTTCGAGCCACTTTTATTACTAATTTGTGTTTTCTAGTGTTTTCGTAGTCTTTGTTGAGTTTTGTAGGAAATTGCGCCTTTGGAGCATTTTCTCGGGTTTTTCATGGAGTGACTACGGGAATTAGAAGTGCACGACCATCTTTCAAGCCCAAGGCCGGTTAGAGTCATCGAGCCGGTGATTAAGGGCTCGGTAATTTGGATCCCGAGGTATTTGGACCGAGTATTCAAGACCCGAAGAGGAAATCCGGATTGGGCCGAGAAGACAAGCCCAATCGAAGTCTGAGCCTCAAAGTGAAGCAAGGGCCCGATCGGGCAAGGAGTGGCACGATCGGGCGCGGCGTTGGTGCTGTGCGTGGCCTATAGCGCGCCCGATCATGCGAGCGTCTAGCACGATCGGGCGAGGCTGCTGAGAAGGAACGCGAAGAAAAAGGCGGGCCCGATCGGGCGCGTGTTTTTATGTAGCCTAATTAGTTTAGTTTTAATTTTTGTTTTAGGAAACGTTTAAGTACGAGATTTGTACGGAATTTTGATTACCTTTTTTTCTTAGACTTTCTCTCTCTACTTAAAATATTTTCTATCTCTTAAATTCTCTCTCAACTTTTGTTCTTAATTACTTCTATTAATCCAGTTTTTCTTTTGGTAACAATTTCTTCCCTTTTAATTTCAGCTATTTTACTTACTTCTTTGATTATGCTTTTATTTAATTATTTGATTAGTTTAGTTAAGATGATGCGTGAGTAGTTTCATTCTAGGGTTTATGGGGATCCATAATTAATATGAAGGGATAATTTGTGATTATTGATTATTTATATTGCATGATAATTTCTTATTGAATTGTTTTAATTCTTTGCAATTAGATTATGAATCGAGCATATGTAATTTGATTGTGAATGTTTAGCAATATTGAATTGATGAATCGAGCAGATGTTAATTTAATATTAAAGGTTATTTTCAATAGGAACCTAGATCTAGTAAATTGCGAGAGCCTGTTAGATCTATGTTGATTAATAAATTGCGAGAGCCTATTAATCATGTTATTTGTGCATTGTTAATTATTAATTACTTCGTTTTATCCCGGAATATTAATTATTGGTGAACCTGTGACCCTAGGCTTCCTTATTATTGTTTCTTTTCTCCCTAAACTTATTCTTAGTAGTATAGAATTTATTCCTAAAAATATTGGTACTTAGATAATTTAGATTATAATAATTAATTAGGAGTAAAAAGACTTGTTTCCCTGTGGAGTTCGACCCTACTTCCCTATCTACTTTAGTTAGAGGACTTAGGTATTTACTTTTGATTAGGGGATACGACTTTACCCTGTCAAAATTTGGCGCCGTTGCCAGGGAAACGATTTTATTTTTATTTTCTGATTTTATTTTTTGTAGTCTAGATTATCCCCTTTTGCCTCAGAGAACGTTAGTTCTTTGAGGCAATTCTCATATTTGTCTTTTAGTTCTTTGTTTATGCCCGGGTGTTCCAGATCAGGTTACATCTCATTCGACCCTAAGATCGAGCGCTCTTTTCATAGGCAAAGGAAACTCTATAGACATATTCTGGCGGGTTCTGAGGAGGACAACAGTCGAAGAGATCCTCCCTCTGATTCTAGTGACACAGATATTCCTTTAGATTCAGAATCTGAGATGACGGCCCAGAAGAAACTCAGTGACTACTCGCAACCGAAGCTCACAGATTTCCCGCACCTTACTCCCACTCCGGCTTTAGATGAAGTTCAATTTGAGATCAAGCCCCAATTTATCACTATGATAGAGAAGAAGCAATTCAGTGGAGCTAAGGGTGAAGATCCTAATCTTCACATCGCAGATTTCTGCCAATATTGTAACACCATTAGACAAGCCGGGGTCACGCAAGACCAAATCAGGGAGATTCTTTTTCCTTTTTCATTATGTGGCAAAGCTAAATTATGGTTTAATGGTTTGAATATAACTGCACTTAGTATTACTGACTGGGAAACTCTTGCCTTGAATTTCTATAATAAATACTATCTTGCAGAGAGAACAGCGGTGCTAAGGAGTGCTATTCAGAACTTCGCTCAAGAGCCCGACGAAACGTTATATGAGGCTTGGGAGAGGTTCAAGGATCTACAGAGAGAGTGCCCCCACCACAATCTAGCATAATGGCAATTGATCCAAGCATTCTATAATGATCTTGGAAATTCTTCTAGATCAGTGCTAGATTCTGCAGCTAGTGGGAGGTTCATGAATATGAATGTGAACGATGCAGGACAGGTTATTGAAGACATGGAAATACACAATTCCCAATATGGGAATTCGAGAAGGTTTGCAAATAAAGGAAAACATAATGCCGATTCCGTATCCTTTTTGCAAGCTCAATTAACGTCTATTTGTCAAAAATTAGATAATCTTACTGCTGCTCCTAACTCTGTAGCTAATGTTTCTGCTGTTGCTAACAATGAAGCTTTTTGTGAAAATTGTGGAATTGTAGGTCATTGGGAGCAAGATTGTAGGAGCTTTATGGAACAAGTTAATGCCTTTCAAACCTATAGGCAGAATAACACCTATTCCAATTCTTACAATGCCGGTTATAAAAATCATCCATATCTTTCATACCGGAGCACCAATGTACAAAATCCTCCACCTCCACAGCAATCACAACAGCAAACCCCACCACAGCAAAAATATTATTATTCTAATTCCGGCCAGAAAAGCC